CAAGGCTAGCCTGAACCACGTAATGAGACCCTGTCTCACACAAAAAAAAGAAGAAATGAGAAAGTTTCCACAATTAAACAATAATGCCAATACAATACACCAGAACTTATGAGATGCAATGAAAGCAGTACTATAATAGAAATTTATAGCACTGAATTCCCATATCAGAAAAACAGAGCAAGCTCACACAAACAACCTAATGTTGACTCTCAAGCTTCTAGAAAAAGAAGACAAGTCAAACACAAAGTTCAAATGAGGGAACAAACTATAAAGATCAGAGCAGAAATTAATGCAATGGAGACTAAAAAAAAAATACAAAGAATCAACAAATCAAAAATCTAGTTCTTGACACACTCTTCACCAATCTTATCAAAAAAGGGAAAAAAAGACGCAAATCTATGCAATTAGGAATAAAAAGAGTAAAATCACCACAGATCCTGTAGAAATCCAAAAGATCATCTATACCTTCCTCTAGAAGATGGAAAACACAGAAGAAATAGGCAGATTCCATTACCAAAACTAAATCAAAAAGTTATAAAAATTCTAAATAAACCAGTATCAGTCAATGAAATCAAAGATGTAATTAAAAACCTACCAACAGGGCCAGGGATATAGATCGGCCACACAGCATCTGCCTGGCAATCGCAAGGTCTTGAGTTCAATTCTCAATACAAAAAAAAGAAAAAAAAACAAACCCTACCAACAAAGAAAAACCCAAGCCCTGACAGATTTTCACAAGTCAAGTCTACAAGAAATTTAGAGAAGACCTAATACCACTACTTCTCAAACTCTTTAATGAAATTGAAAGGGAAGTAATACTCCCAAATTCATTCCTGGAAGCAAGCATTACCCTAATACCAAAACCGGAGAAAGACCCAAGAAAGAGAACTACAGGCCAGTCTCCCTGTGAACACAGACACAAAAATCCTCAATAAGATACTGGCAAACAGAATCAAGATTATACACCATGACCAAGTAGGATTCATCCCAAGGATGCAGGGATGGTTCAACATACACAAATCAATAAATGTAATACACCATAGTAACAGAGCCAAGGACAAAAACCATATGATCATCTCAATAGATGCAGAAAAAGCTTTGCACAAAGTCCAACACCCACTCATGATTTAAAAAAAAAACCTACAGAAAACTGGAATAGATGGTCTTTATCTCAATCTGATCAAAACCATCTATGACAAACTAATAACCAACATCATACTAAATGCACAAAAACTGGGTCGGAGATGTGGCTCAGCAGCACAGCACCTACCTAGCAAGCATGATGCCCTCAGTTCAGTTCCCAGTAATAAATAAATGGACAAAAACTGAAAGCTTTCCCTCCACAATCAGAAACAAGACAAGGATGTCCACTGTCACTACACTTATTCAGTATAGTTCTGGAAATATTAGCCAGGGCAATTAGATAAGAGAAATAAATAAAAAGAATAAGGATAAGAAAAGAAGTTAAATTATAATTATTTGTGAATGACAGGATACTCTACATAGAAAACTAAAAAATTTCCACCAAAAGACTTCTAGATTTAATGACTAAATTCAGCAGAGTAGATACAAAGTCAACACTCAAAAATTAGATACAAAGTCAACACTCAAAAATTATTAGCATTCTTGTACACAAATAACAGAGAAAAATCAAAGAAACAACACTTACCATGATAGCATCCAAAAAAATGAAATACCTAGGAATCAATCTAATGGATGAAGTAAAAGACCTTCACATTGAAAACTACAGTACTCTGAAAAAGGAGGTCGAAGAGAATATCAAAAAACAGAAAAATATCCCTTGTTCTTGGGTAGGAAGAAATTAATATAATGAAAATGGCCATAATTCCAAAAGTGTTATACAGATTTAATGTAATCCCAATCAAAATACTAATAATATATCTCACAGGATTAGAGAAAATAATCTTAAAATTCATTTGGAACCAGGAGAAACCTAGAATACCTAAAGCAATTCTGGGCAACAAAGGCTAGGTAGGGGGCATCACAATCCCTGACTTGAAATTCTACTACAAATCTACTATGATTTTTGAGCAGGGTGTGGTGGCTCACACCCGTAATCCCAGCACTCAGGAGGCTGAGGTAGGAGGATTACTGTGAGTTCGAGGCCACCCTGGGCTACAAAGTGAGATCCAGGTCAACCTGAAGTGAATAGTGAAACCCTGTCTCAAAAGGACAAAAAAAAAAAAAAAAATCTACTGTGATTTAAAAAAAAAAGAAACAGCATGGTACTGGCAAAAAAAAGACCCAAGGATCAATCAAACAAATCAGAAGATATAGAAACAACTCCAAACCTACTCAGCCACTGGCATTATACATAGTTCAGCTGTAGAACACTTGCCTAGCATGCATAAGGCCCTAGGTCAGGGGTGGCAAACCTACGGCACTTGAGCCAAGTCACCCTAGACAAGTTACCCCAGCAGCCAAACAGGTATTCAGGTTTAATTGCAGTGTTGGAACTTTCAATAAAAAGTGGGTGGGGTTGCAGTTTGGGCAATCATCTCAACCCCTAGGTTGATCCTCAGTATTGAAAAGCAAGCAAACAAAAGTTAGAGACAGAAATAAACACTAAAGTAAGTATAAACTGGGGGTGGTGGCACATGCCTGCAATCCCAGCACTAGGGAGGCTGAGGCAGGAGGATCACTGCAAGTTTGAGGCCAGCCTGGGCTACAGAATGAGCACAAGGCCAGTCTGAACTGCATATTGAGACCGTGTCTCAAAAAGACAAGAAACAAAACAAATAAAATTATGGGCAATCTTTAATAAATGGTGCTGGAAAAACTGGCTGTCCACATGCCAAAGATTAAAATTAGACCCATATCTCTCACCATGCACTAAAGTCAAAATGGATCAAAGACATAAATATTAAAAACAGAAACACTAAATCTGTTGAAAGAGGATCAGGCATGGTGGTGCACACCTGTAATTCCAGTGCTGGGGAGGCTGAGGCTGGAGGATCATTGTGAGTTCGAGGCCAGCCTGGGCTACAAAGTGAGCTCAAGGCCAGCTTTAACGGCATAGTGAGACCCTGTCTCAAAAAGACCGGAAAAAAAAAAAAAAATGCTGAAAGAATAGGTAGAACTCTTAAAGACTTCAGTGTAGGCAAAGATTTTATGAACAAAACCCCGATCACACAGGAACTATCACAAAGCATTAACAACTGGGATTTCACCTTATTAGAAAGCTTTTGCAT